ACATCTCTCACCACCACTGGCTTACAACACTCCTAGTCACAGCTTTCACCACCACTCGCCTACAGCACTCTCAGTCATATCTCTGACCACCACTCGCCTACAACTCTCCCAGTCACATCTCTGACCACCACTCGCCTACAGCATTCCAAGTCACAGTTCTCACTACCACACGTGTACAACACTCCTACTCACAGCTCTTACCACCACTCGCCTACAACACTTTTAGTCACAGCTCTCACCACCTCTCGCCTACAACACTCCCAGTCGCAGCTCTCACCACCACTACGCCTACTACACTCCTACTCACAGCTCTCACCACCACTCGCCACCACAACACTTTTTAGTCACGCTCCTCATCAGCACTCGCCTACAATACTCCCAGTCCACAGCTCTCACCACCACTCGCCTACAACACTCCCAGTCACAGCTCTCACCACCACTCGCCTACAACACTCACAGTCTCAGCTCTCACCACCACTGGCCTACAACAATCCTAATCACAGCTCTCACTACCACTCGCCTACAACACTCCCAGTTACCGCTCTCACCACCACTCGCTTTCAACACTCCCAGTCACGGCTTTCACCACCAATCGCCTTCAACACTCACAGTCACAGCTCTCACCACTACTCGCCAACAAAACTCTCAGTCACAGCTCTGACCACCACTCTCCTACAGCAATCCTAGTCACAGCTCTCACTACCACTCACCTACAACACTCTTAGTCACAGTTCTCACCACCGCTCGCCTACAACACTCCTAGTCACAGCTCTCACCACCACTCGAAAACAGCACTCCTAGTCACAGCTCTCTCCACCACTCACCTACTACTCTCCCAGTCACATCTCTGACCACCACTCGCTTACAGAACTCTCAGTCACAGCGCTCACCACCACTCGCCTACAACACTCTTAGTCAAAGCTCTCACCATCACTCGCCTACAACAATCCAAGTCACTGCTCTCACCACCACTCGCCTAATACACTCCCATACACAACTCTCACCACTACTCGCCAACAAAACTCTCAGTCACAGCTATGCCCACCACGAGCCTACAGCCCTCCTAGTCACAGCTCTGACCACCACTCTCTTACAACACTCCTAGTCACATCACTCACCACCATTCGCCTACAACTCTCCCAGTCACATCTCTGACCACCACTTGCCCACAGCACTCTTAGTCACAGCTCTCACCAGCACTCGCCTACAACACTCCCAGTCACAGCCCTCACCGCGACTCGCCTACAACACTCCTAGTCACAGCTCTCACCACCACTTTCCTACAGCACTCCCAGTCACATCTCTGACCAACCACTCGCCTACAACTCTCCCAGTCACATCTCTGACCTGCTCTTCTAGCACTCCCAGTCCACAGCTCTAACCACCACTCGCCTACAACCTCCCAGTCTGGGTCTCACCACCACTCTTTCACTACCTCCTATTCACAGCTGTCACCACCACTCGCATAAAAACACTCTTAGTCACAGCTCTCGGCAGCACTCTCTATAACACTCCAGTCCCCAGCTCCTCACCACCACTCGCCTACAACCTCCCAATCACAGCTCTCTACCACTCGCCTACAACACTCCTAGTCCCTGGCTATCACCCACCTCTCTCCTACTGCTTACTCCCAGTCGCAGCTCTCACCAGCACTCGCCTACAACCTCCCAGTCCTGGCCTCTCACCACCACTCGCCTACAGCACTCCCAGTCACAGCTCTCACCACCTCTCGCCTAAAACACTCCCAGTCACAGCTCTCACCACCACTGGCCTACAGCACTGCCAGTCACGGCTCTCACCACCACTCGCCTAGAAAACTCCTAGTCACTGCTCTCACCAGCACTCGCCTACAACACTCCCAGTCACACCTCTCACCATCTCTCGCCTACCACACTTCCAGTCGCAGCTCTCACCACCACTCGCCTACAACACTCCAAGTCACAGCTCTCACCATCACTCGCCTACAAAACTCCAAGTCACAGCTCTCACCACCACTCGCCTACAACACTCCTAGTTACAGCTCATACCACCTCTCGCCTACAACACTCCCAGTCGTTGTTCTCACCACCACTCGCCTACAACACTCCTAGTCACAGCTCTCACCACCACTCGCTTACAACACTCTTAGTCACAGCTCTCACCAGCACTCTCCTATAACACTCCCAGTCACAGCTCTCACCACCACTCGCCTACAACACTCCCAATCACACCTCTCACCACCACTCGCCTGCAACACTCCCAGTCACAAGTCTCACCACCACTCGCCTTCAACACTCCTAGTCAGAGCTCTCACCACCACTCGCCTACAACAATCCCAGTCGTTGCCCTCACCACCACTCGCCTACAACACTCTTAGTCACTTCACCCACCACCCACTCGCCTCACAACCTCCTAGTCACAGCTCTCACCACCACTCGCCTACAGCACTCCCAGTCACAGCTCTCACCACCACTCGCCTACAGCACTCCCAGTCACAGCTCTCACCCACCACTCGCCTACAGCTCTCCCAGTCTGTCTCTGACTACCACTCGCCTACAGCACTGCAATTCAGGGCTCTCACCACCCCACTCGCCTACAGCACTGCCAGTAACGGCTCTCCACCACCACTCGCCTACAAACACTCCTAGAACAGCTCCACCACCACTCGCCTACAACACTCCTAGTCACAGCTCTCACCACCTCTCGCCTACACACTTCCAGTCGTAGCTCTCACCACCACCCGCCTAGAAGCAACCACTCCTAGTCACAGCTCTCACCACCACTCGCTTACAACACTCTTAGTCAGAGCTCTCACCAGCACTCGCCTACAACACTCCCAGTCACAGCTCTCACCATCACTCGCCTACAACAATCCAAGTCACTGCTCTCACCACCACTCGCCTAATACACTTCCATACACAACTCTCACCACTACTCGCCAACAAAACTCTCAGTCACAGCTCTGCCCACCACCCGCCTACAACCCTCCTAGTCACAGCTCTGACCACCACTCTCTTGCAACACTCCTAGTCACATCTCTCACCACCATTCGCCTACAACTCTCCCAGTCACATCTCTGACCACCACTTGACCACAGCACTCTTAGTCACAGCTCTCACCAGCACTCGCCTACAACACTCCCAGTCACAGTTCTCACCACGACTCGCCTACAACACTCCTAGTCACAGCTCTCACCACCACTTTCCTACAGCACTCCCAGTCACATCTCTGACCACCACTCGCCACCAACTCTCCCAGTCACATCTCTGACCACCACTCGCCTACAGCACTCCCAGTCACAGCTCTAACCACCACTCGCCTACAACACTCCCAGTCACAGCTCTCACCAACACTTGCCTACAACACTCCTAGTCACAGCTGTCACCACCACTCGCATTAAACACTCTTAGTCACACCTCTCACCACCACTCGCCTACAACACTCCTAGTCACAGCTCTCACCACCACTCGCCTAAAACTCTCCCAGTCACATCTCTGACCACCACTCGCCTACAGCACTACCATAATGGGCTCTCACCACCACTCGCCTACAGCACTGCCAGTAACGGCTCTCACCACCACTCGCCTACAAAACTCCTAGTCACAGCTCTCACCACCACTTGAGGTGGGGGGGGGGGGGCAGACTGTGTATAGATCTACACCTATTAAAAAAAATGTTCTTCGCTGTCCTCTGCTGGTTTTAACCTCCCCTGTTGCCTTTAGAGTAGTCTTCTGTTTTTTTTCTTTTTTTTCCAGTTCACTTCGGCGATTTGTCGGTATTTATGTGCTAACTCTATGAACACTGCATTTTGCTATGAATGACGAATTTTATAAACCCACTCAGTCTTTTAGAAACACAGAAAAATAAAATATAACCTTCTTTTGGGCCGTAATACAATGCCTTTAAGGATAGCAAAGCTTGTTGATTTTATTATTTTTTTATTTTAACTAGTATTTCCTTATGCTTTCTTTTCCCGTTCTCATCAACGACTTATCACTGTGTACACTGTATCTCCCTGTGAATGGTGTATTGTAGACACAGTTTCATTCCATGAGAAAGCACACAAACAAAATAAAATTTAAAGTCTCTGTGGCACCTATAACACGACTTGGTTTCAGCTGGCAGTGGTGCCTTCCCAGCTTGCTTGCCTATTTGTATTCACTTTAAGTTATTTACAACCTCTTCCGCAGTCACTGATGACACTATGAACTGATTTAACCAAAGGCACAGTACTACACTCCCTGGTTGGCCTTTATCACAGCCGTGACCACAACTCCGTAAAAAAATAAAAAATATAAAAGCTTTGTCATATGGCAATGATTTTGCGGTTGTAGGCCTCCCGACCTGGGCTGCACCTCCAACTCGGTGGAGATTGAGTTTTCAATAATACAATCACGTCTAACATTAAAAATCCTACATCGATTTACACTTTCACACCACTAAGACGATCTTGATGATCTTATATAATCACTGACCAATATCTGCCTCTCTACAACGAAGGCCCGAACGCCGAACACGCTTTGTTACAGAGACGCAACACAACCCGACCCGAGCCCATTGCCCGCGGAAGTAGAGGCGGATGAGTGTACTTGAGAGGGAGAGAGATCGAGGGGGTGTATAGGTGATAAGCAGGATGTCAGCAGCAGTGTGGACGGGCCGATATTGAGTGGCCGGGGGAGGGTGTTAAGATGTGAGTTCAGTGAGCGCGACAGGGGAGTCGGTTGCTCACTGCGAAAAAGTTTAACACCAAAGATGGCATTGAGAGCAGTAATTCGATCGCAGACGGGGAGCAGGATTAATTCACGCTGCATAACTTCTATCCTGGTGGTCATAAGGCAGCCGAGGATGAGTCTCATCGTTCTGTTTTGGATTTTCTCTATACTTTGTTTCTCGCGTTGGGAGGCGACTACAAAGACAGGACATGCATAATCTATGACAGCTATGGTGATGGCAATGAGACGTAGGACCCCGACAGAGGCTCCTTTGAGGCCGTGGGTGAGGTACTGGAGGGGCCTCGTTCGATGGCGGCACTGGGAGATGACATGGGCGGCGACAGTGGGGGTGGTGGCGCTGGTAGTGACTCGCAGGGCTACACCAAGGTACCTGTAGGTGCGTACTTGATCAATGTCTTGTCCTTGCAAAGTCAGCGGTGTCTGACCCTGGAAGTGTGAGATGAACTTGGTTTTAGTGTGTGAGATGACTAGACCGAGTGTTCGACAGGTCCGGGCGAACGCGGAGAGTGTCATATTATGGAATACATGTTCTCTTGTTCTAATTGGGTTTTGTTTTGTTCTGTTGCAGATGTATATGGATTTATGAGTTGAATAAAACCTTGATTACTGAAGGTGTTTGATCTCATACGACAATTTATTCAACTCATATTCTACTAGCAACATGGAACGCATACTCTGCCCCGACAAGCTTGATGTTGATCCAAATTCCCCAGCTGCTGAGAAGGAATACAAGCATTGGCTTAAAACTTTTGAAAACATTATTGATGAGTGTGGAGACAGAGCGCCTGACAAACTACGATGTTTGACAAAATATGTGTCTGCTACTGTGTATGAATTTTTTGCTGATGCTACGGAGTTTGAAACCGCGATACAAGTGTTAGAAAAGGTATATGTTTAAAAGAAAAATGAGATATTCGCCGGACACCAGCTCGCCACAAGACGTCAGCGTCCTTCCGAAACACTGGATGAATTTCTTCGCGACTTGCACAGACTCGGCAAAGATTGTACTCTAAAAGCTGTCACGGCCGAAGAATATCGTGAAGAGTTAGTATGGGATGACTTCATCAACAGACTGTCTTCTGCAAGTATACGTCAACGTCTATTGGAAAATCAGGCTCTCACACTCTCTCAAGCCTTTGATCAAGCTAGAGCCTTGGATCTTGCACAGCGTACTTCGGAAACCTTCCAGCCACTAGGCCCTGTCATTGCAGCAGCTTCAGGATGTGTGGAGGAAACTGTTAAGTCACCATACACTAATCAACAAGATATATATCCAGATGAGGATTCAACACTTACAAGTATGACCACTAAGAAACGATGTTGGTTTTGTGGTGGCAGTCTTCATTTACGGGCGAGATTTCCAGCTAAAGATAGTGATTGCTTTTCATGTGGAAAAAGAGGGCACTCGGCAAAAGTCTGTCAGACTAAGGGTAAGAAACAGGTCACGGCATCAATTTCATCTCCTACTCTTTGTGCCATCTCAGCTGCTGTTCCTCATTGCCTGAATTGCTCTGCTACAAACTTAAAGGTAAATGGAAGACGAATCTCCCGCCTTATTGGTTCGGCAAGTTCTGAGAGTTTCATTGACAAGAGAGTGGCCTATCGGCTTAAGCTTCACATCAAGTGGATGTAATCTTTTGCCGTAAAGGACGAAATAGTTCTGACAAACTTACAAACTGATGACACAGAAATCTTCAAGCATTCTGCCATACTATTTGGAAGCTGCCACTGCTAAAGTATCTCAATGCAGTTAGGAGCTGCAGGTGTGTGGAATACTGCATCCTGTAGGATATAGATATTTTTTGTTATTTACTGTTTTCTCTAACATTGCATATCTTGACTATAGTAAACAACAGGTCTCCTATGATGATGTATATTACTGTGTTACATTTTAAGTTCTTCAGAGAATCACCTCCGTAAAGCACAACATACAGGTGATATCCCCGTTAGCCGGAATAATTGGTGCAGAGCTCTTCCAGGGATGAGAGACTTCCAGATAACATGAAGACTCTCAAACCATGAAAAAATCCCACATCCCTAGAATTTTTCCGGTTTCATGTAAAAGTTTCTTCGTTTAAACATTCTTTCATCCTCGGAGACCCGGGAAACCTCGTTGATTTTCAGGATGTTTTCATAAAAATTTCCAGAAAATGTGCCTGATATTTAACCTCGAAATTTGCTCCAAGGCCTGGAATCAAATTCAAGAGATTTTTCGGAATTAAAGAAAAAATTAATCTAATTTTCAACCTTGAAAACTCGTTCACAGACCCGGAATGTTGAAAATTTTCCCGGAAAAACTCCGAGCCAATTGCAATTATGAGTATGCATTAACGAATTCTGCGTAATGAAGATATTACTACACTGTAATTATGGCCTGGTATTATTATTGTACATGGCTGGTGAGTTTAGGGGTTTTCATGGGTGCTGAGTGCTGCATAGTGGTGATGCTCCCCCCCCCTCTTTTATTGCGTCACAAAATCTTGGATTTTGGTATTTGTTTAGAAGTGTATTGGGTATTTATTCAATGTTATGCAGAGTTTCGGTCTACAAAGATATATTTAGTCTAACCTAACCAAACTTTAACTAACCTAACCTAACTTTACTTAACCTAACCTGACCTGACCTGACCTAACCTAACCTAACCTGACCTGACCTGACCTGACCTGACCTGACCTGACCTAACCTGACCTGACCTAACCTAACCTGACCTAATCTAACCTGACCTAATCTAACCTGACCTAATCTAACCTAAGCTTACTTAACCCAATTATCTTGTAGACCGCACACTTTAGTAACACCAGAATTTCTTGCCTCGTCCTTCTTGAACTCTTCGCATATGTGGTTCAACTCGTTCAAGAAGTTCATGGATGCATTCCTTGGACAGCCTATACCTCTTGATGAACTCCTCCTCAGAGAGATAAGCAAACGGATTTTGATGGTCTCTAATAACAATACCAGAATGCTATAATGCCAGCCTGAGAAAATAAATCAAAATCTAATATCTATTATCTATATATTACGGTAACTACTGTATATAAGATAAATTACTTTTGATAATAGTTTACAAGCGTGTTGCACAGCTATTACAGAGAATTTCTTTAAGAAATTTGTCCATAGTATATTTAACTTTTGTTTATTGTTGTTCCAGGATGTAAGATAGGACTGACATGATTTAAATCGAGTGATTGAAAACATCATTAATCAATTTGGGCACTTTCTCTAACCCTGAGTTCGAACATTTCACCTAAAAAAATATTTTACGTAACCCACTCTAAACTTTCAAATGTTGGTAGTACCTAACACGACTGGAACAACAACAACCCAAACAGTGAAATATAGCAGGAGAAATTATTTCCATGGTTATTATCAGCGTGGGTCACAGTTGACACTTGTAAACTATTACCTGAGCAACCTATTTAGTACATTATATTTTGCACATCTTATATCTTTCCGATATAATATATTGGCGAATAGGAAATGGTATTACATCTATTTATCACAAAGAAAAGTGCATTTTTTAACATACTTGATGCTGTAAGAGGATGCTTGTAGGAATGCGATACTTGATAAATTGGAGAAGGGCGATGGGGGGATGAAAAATCTTCGGAGTTGAAGGTAAAACATCACAAGAGTACACTGCGGTCTCTTAAAAATATACACATTTCCATTGGAACCGGTTATTTGGATATTTGAATATTTTTTTCTTTATTATCTCATCTTAATTTACATATATTACATTTCAGAGACGTTTTCTATTCATTTATAACTAGTTTGAACATTCGGGATAAGTCTTTCGGGTGCTCACACCCGAGGACTTATCCCGAACATTCCAATAATATTGTCGGACTACCAAATGATAACCCGACAAAATTTGGTTTAAAAATGTGGATTAAGGCTCGGAGGGCGCTTTCGGGTTACTAATAAGTAACCTCTTACAAATTACTACAGTGCAACATGAACAACCTATATTCTCTGTCGTATGAGATCAAACACCTTCAGAAATCAAGGCTTTATTCAACTCATAAATCCATATACATCTGCAGCAACAAAACAAAACCCAATTAGAACAACAGAACATTTAGAGTAAAGGTAAACACAAACATAATTTATTCCATAATATGACATTCACCCCGGCCATCATAATCAATCAAACATCATAGCCGTATCGCTGGGGTTCTCTTCGCTGCCGAGTAGAACAACGAAGAGGTGACTCCTGCATGATACTAGGATTCAGCAATGTCGTCCCGTTATCTCCCTCTGCAGCAACTCCCTCACCATTATCCAACATTTCTGGCTCCACTGAAGGTGAGGTTGATCCGGCAGAGATGTCTGAGGATGAGGATCCACCAGGGCATGGAGCAAGATCACGGAGGAAAAAAGATTCGCGTCCATCTGGATACTTAATGTGTGCATACGTTGGGTTAGCCTCGAGAAGCTCCACCTCATCAACGAGAGGGTCACCTTTGCTTGAGCGGACGAGTCGGCGTAAGAAGACAGGACCTGGAGTCGTTAGCCATGTTGGCAGGGATGTACCCTGACAAGATCGTCTCGGAAAATTGAAAAACCTCTCATGTGGAGTCACGTTGATGGCTATTGAGAGCAATGATCTAATGGAGTGAAGTGCTTCAGTATCCGCAACATCTCAAGATTTGGCAGCTAAACATATGGACTTCCAGATTATGCCATTGTACCGTTCTATTTGACTGTTTCTTGTTGGGTGGTAAGGTGTAGTTTTGCTGAACGCCACTCCACGACTAGCGAGATGAGTTTTCACTTCACGAGACATAAATGCACTTCCTCGATCAGAGTGGACAAAACTCGCCATACCACAAAGCGAGAAGATGGTGTCCAGACATCTGTTGACAGTTGAGGGAAATCTAGAATATTCATCCACAGCAGTGAAGATATATGAGTTTCTCGTGCGTGATGGAAGAAGACCTTTGAAGTCAATGCTCAGTTTATCCATTGGTTGAGTAGCTTTGATAAGGGTATTTTCAGTAGACCTGTGAAATGTTGGCTTGATTTCAGCACATACACGACAAGTTGAACAGACCTTTTTCACATCCTCCGTAGAAAATGGGAGGTTCTTTATCCAGACAAAATGAAGCATTCTGACAACCCCCGGGTGGCAGGGACCTTCATGGATGACAGGTTTGACGATGAGATGGCTCCGCAGTACGCTCGGGTGAAAGTGTCAGGAGCAACGTTGTCTCTACCTGGCCGATACCAAATGGAATAGCTAAAACATGCGAGTTCGAGCCGCCACCCTTGTATCTTGTCATTCTTCACTTTAGTCCTCCTACGACTGTCCAGCATAATTGCAACTGATCGCTGGTCAGTAACAATGTTGAAGTGCCGTCCCAACAACAGGTGAGACCACTTTCTTACCGCTTCAATTATTTCAGTCGCCTCCTTCTCAACAGGAGGATAGTGAATCTCACTGCCAGACAACATCCGAGATATGAAGGCTACTGGCCGACCAGCTTGATTCAAAGTAGCAGACACGGGCACATCCGACGCATCACACTCCACAACAAATGGGATGGCATGGGTCAATGCTATTTAGGGCAGCTTCCCCAAGCAGTTTCTTCAAGTCATCAAAAGCTGTGAGCGCTTCACGGTCCAGAGGAAAAGATTTAGCCTTGTAGAGAGGCCGTGCCTTTTCTGAAAACTCCGGGATCCACTCAGCGTAATAAGCAAATATACCAAGTACACGTTGAAGAGTCGATCGGTTTGTAGGTGGTGGAAGTTCTTGCAGTGGCTTTAGCCTTTCAGGATCTGGTTTGATTTGACCATTTCCAAGTTGATAACCCAGAAGATTGATCGATTTTGCTGATATTGTAGATTTGGATGTATTGAATGTCAGCTTCCTTTCCTCAGCAGCAGCAAGACATTTCTCAACATTTGTGTCATGTTCTTTCTGATCCCGACCACCTATGGTAATATTGTCAAGGTAGGGAAATGTGTCACATAGATTCTCCTCCTCCACGAACTTGTCTATGGCTCTTTGAAAAACGGCTACACCATTAGCGACACCAAATGGTACACGTGTGAATTGATACAGTTTGCCATTTGCTTCAAATGCTGTAAAGGGTTTATCAGACTCGCTTCTGCGTAGTTGATGGTATGCGCTCTTTAGATCAAATGTTGAGAACACGTGGTACTTAGCAATAGTGTTGACCATGGTTTCAATGTTTGGCAATGGATATGCGTCGACATTGGTGTAAATGTTCACCGTAGAAGAGTAGTCGCTGCACATTCGTTTTCTGTGACAGCCTGAATCATCTCTTGCAATCACGACCTGTGCACGCCAGGGTGTTGTACTTGATTCCATGATGCCTTCGGACAGTAAGCGTTGTATTTCTTTGGTAATGAACTTTTGGTCATCAGGGCTAAACTTCCTAGATTTGGTGGCTATCGGCTTTGCATCTCCTTGCATGTTTGCAAATAACAGTGGTTCTGACATACCTGCTGATGCCAGGCTACATACAGGCTTGTTACCAATTGTGGAAATCATGAGCTCAGGTCTGGGTCCTCCATGCTCTATGGTAACTGAGGAGTGTTGTTTTTTAAATCTATGCCGAGAATAACATCACCACAAAGATTCTCAATGACGCCCTGACGTGTGTTTGG